GCGTTTATGGGTCCGGCGAACTAGTCCCCGACGCCAGACCCGCGGCACTCCAAGTGCCGAATTTTGGGTGCGCCTTTTCCGTTTCTTTTCATCATTTAGCGTTGTACTCGCCTCCAAGGGGCGAGTAAATGATGTTTGGAGGACTTAAGTCCCCCCACCCCACTTCTCCGACTGCGTTTAGATCTGCAGGGGCAGCGTTGCCCTGAGTTCTCACTCCCGGCGTGGCGGGTGCTAAAGATGAAACGCAGGAGTGCGACAGTTTGTGTAAGCAATGGAATTAACCTGGTACTGCTGGATTGCCTGTTGAGTATTTTGTTTCAAGTGATCGCAGTCGGGGGCATAGGCCTTGTAGTCTGCAAGCCCCGATGTAAATCCAGCGACAAGTGTGTGCACGACCCGAAGATTTTTCCACACACAGATTGATGGCTTGGACGTAACTGTCTCTTCAACCACACCCATCCCCACAGGAAATAAGACTATCACTGTCGTCTTAGATTAGGAAGGATAAGTTACACCCTGAAATACTACTTTGTACGGCATGGCCTTTATGAACTGTTGCCACAAATAAAACAAAAACTTCTAAAACGCCTTAATTTGTATTGTAGAAAATGTTATTTTATTACGCTTAAACTGCTTTTACTTTGTACCTACGTGTTGGCAGTTCTTATATTTTTACAGATTTTGATTTTGGTTAGATCAAGCGTGCTTATAAACTTCTAATGTAATGAGAGCGGGGAATACTTATGGATTTGCTGGCAGAAGTTTCCCCATTGAGATCTTGGCCGGTTTTACTCTGTAAAGGAGTCCTACGCTCCTCCTCTGTCAGAATATGGGGTTGAGATCAAGTGTGGAAATTCAGCCAAAACCTAGTTAGAAGTTTTAGTAAAAGGAATATTTAAAACGTGTCACAGAAACCACAGTAGGCTTTGCTTCAGTAGGTAATACAAACGTGGTGGGCCTGATCTCATGAACTTGGGAGTACACAATTTGGATTTGACAAGCCAGTTTTCATCCTAGCTTCCATAATTTAGTATATGGTATTTCACATTTCAGGATGAATCAGATTCAAGAATGTTGACTAACTTATATCTTGAAACTAATTTTTCAAGCATTCCATTGTAGTGAGGAGTTTTTTGCAAATTTTATAAGCTTTCAGTTTCATCAGAAACTGAAATTTCTGATGAAATAGAAATTTCTTACTGTAAGTGGATTACTTTTAATTTAAACACTGTCACGCACCAAAAAAGAAATTAAATTAGGAAATTAACTTATAAAAATTACATAAGATTTAAAACACCTCATGCAGGAAAAAAGTAGATGTTGGTTTAAATGCACTTCAGGGATATTTTGTTCACATTTTTAAGAAGACATTCTAAAGTTGTCATTTTTAAGAAGACATTCTAAAGTTGATGAAAATGCATTTTTAAGAAGGCATTCTAAAGTTGATGAAAATACTACCATAATAGAATTAGTTGTTTATTTTGAAAAGAAACTACTTGTACAGAATTTGATAATATGGCAAAATTATTTGCTGGTGGGAGTTTTAATTTGACTTAACAATCTTGTTTATGATTCACAGTATCCTGTGCTGATTACACTTTGAGTCTCTCTGATTATGTAATTTATATTGAACTTGTTATATAGGTGTGCCTCTTTGGAGCAGTCATCTAAAGAAAAACTTGAGATAGTGCACTTAGGAGATGTTTTGATTTTAGTTTCAATGTAGGAAAAAATTTTGTCCACTTGTGTGGTTAGTTGACAGTGGCAGTGTGTGAGAAATTGCTCCTTGGCATTTAGCCAATCAGATTTCTTAGATAGTCCTGGTGCAAAGATGAAGCTCTATCAAGCTCAACACAGATTCATATTACATTGCCAGACTGTCAGGCTGTGATCTTATTACTGTATAAACTCTTCAGTTCCCCAGCAGAGAGCAGACATGGTGTTCCCTTCTCTACTCTCTAACATGGAAAGCCTAAGATTCAAATACCCCTGGTACAGACGAGCAGAATTTTAGAGGAAATGATTTAGTCAAATGCTGAGCTCTTAGGAGGGAAAGCATTACATTATTCTGAGGTAATAGTCATGTTTTTGAAAATAATATAAGTAGATGTAGGGATTGCTATGAAATACGGTTTTTTAAAACCAATAAGAAAAGATTTTGAGGTTTTTTTTACACTGTATACAGCATAAAAGCAACAATAGGATTATTAAGCAAAATCAAACCTGTATCTAGGTAAAATACAGACATTGACTTCAGTACACTGGTTATTACCATATTGAAAAAGGCCACCTGCTTTTTTACATACTAAAAGAATATTTATACATATGGGGAGATACAATCCTCCACTTCATCAGCATTTCTAGCATAACAAACTAAACCTGGAAAACTCTATACTGGTAGAGAATTGTGGCAAATATTATGCTATTCTAAATAGGAAAAACATTTTATCTGTTCATTTTAGCCTTTACTGAGTACCATACAAAAAAACTCTGGCTACACTAAACAGTGAGCTTCCTTTTGAAGTATTTAGTAACATGTTTTGCCTTCCTGGAATCCTCTTGCCTCTCTCTCTGCTTCTCTAACTCCTACTTATCCAAAGGTCTCAGCTTAAATACCATTTCCATAAAGAAACCTTCCCTGAAATCTCAGCTGAAATTGGGTCCCCTTAGAATGTTCTGTCATGTCACTTCTCATAGTTTGTGATTACCTAGGTGTTTATGAGAATATTTGATATCTGTCTTGGTAAGAGTAGTGACATGTCTATTCTGGTCCATTGCTGTTTAACTCCAGTGTCTCTCATAGCAGTCTGGTAAATAATAAGTACTTGATAAAAATTAAATGAAAATGCTGTTGTTAGAGCTTCTTCTAAATTATAGATTGTTAAAATATAAGATAATTGTATACATGGGGGAGAGGAAAATAGATCAACTTGTGATAGTATGGAAAGTAACCTTCAAGTGAGACCCATAACATCCTAATAATAAGGCCAGCCAGGCTCAAGCTGCCTTAAATTCCCTGCCTTTGATTTCTTTCAACATTGAGGACAAATTATGTTAATTCATTTGAATGTAATAGGTGACAGATAACTCTCCAAAAGAATATTTGATATGTTCCTAATAAATAGAAATGCTTGTCAACTAGACATTGTTTGAGCCTCTAATAGCTGTTAGAAACAGACATAATCGATAAATAATTTATAAGTTAATAAGATGTACTATTTCGACTTGGCACCTATAGCTCAGCAGCTAGGGAGCCAGCCACATACACTGGAGCTGGCAGGTTCAAATCCAGCCTGGGCCTGCTGAACAACAATAACTACAACCAAAAAATAGCTGGCGTTGTGGCGGGCACCTGTAGTCCCACCTACTCGGGAGGCCAAGGAGAATCAAGGCTTAAGCCCAAGATGAAACTTCTTTGAAAGCTGGCAAATATCATTTTTACAGATGAGAAAGTGTAAAAATGGCATTCTACCAATAGTGACATAGTGAGACTCTAGCTCAAAAAAAAAAAAAAAAGAACTATTTCAGTTTTCTAACTGAAACATAAAGACAAAACTAAGCAACATAGCAAGGTTCCTCTAAGTTAGAGTTATTAGATTTCTTTTCATGTTTAGTCTTAAATATGTACAAATATTTTGTACCCTGTATCTTGTTGCATCTTAACAGACAAAATCAGGGGTCTGCAAACAAAACAAGGAGAGAAAAAACAGATGGGATGAGTGGGCAGAAACTAAGATGATAGCTCCTTAGTTTCTTTTATTTGTGTTCATGCTGAAACTTAAAATCATTTTATACAATAACATATATAAACAGTTAACATTAGTTCTGGTAAATTAGTCAATGTTATTAGACAGTGTTTGGCTAGTATGACTAGGCACATAATAAAATGGAAATTTACTGAGAAGCAGCCATCAAAATAAATTATTAAACACAGTGGCATCTTGTATTTTGAAGTTGTTAACTTGCATACAGTGTTATTCATAGATAATTTACTACTTGATTGAGATAAATACCTACTCAGTTAGATATGTTATGGAACTAACTACCTCATGAAACAACCTGTTCCATTGTTAGGTTTTTGAATGTGGAATGAAATAGAAAGAATGTGGGCTTTGGAATTAGAAACTTGATTTTGGATCTCATTTCCATCACATATTAGCTATGTAGTAATGGGTAAGGGACAACTTCTTTGAAGCTCTGGTTCCTTTTCTTTAAACAGAATTAAACAGATCTCCTATTATTAGTACAAGAATTTAATAAAGTATCATTTTGCACTTGGAGTGTTTAGCATAATGTAGGAACTTAATTGTTAATCCTTTTAACTGATTACTATGAACATTATTGAAATGTATTGAGCACTTACTGTGAGCCAGCTACCCCGTATAGGTTCCTTACATGGAGTAGCTCAGTCCTTACAACCTGTGAGGTGATTAAGTAGTGCTAACATCTTCATTTTACTTCTCCCTTCTGCAGTGATACAAATTAAAACCAGTTCTATTAACACCTCTTCAAATATTTAAAAACCACTTATTCTGTCTATATGGGATTGTTAGCATATTTTGTTGTTGTTGTTGCGTGACATTTTTTCACCTTTATTTGGAGGTGCAATTTAAAAAAATGAATATAGCTCTGAAAATGTGAGCCATAGAAATAAACTGACTAGCAGGAAGTATACAGATTTATGCTTATATGTCCTCAGTGTCCTAGACCACAGGTTTGCATTAGCTCTTTTAATCATCCTTTATATTACCAGTTCACAATCCCTTCTCATGTAAATAGCCAGCATTTTCCCATTTCTCTATTGCATGTTTAACTTTCTGAAACTAAATGCAAAGCTTTACATGTATCCTTAATTTGCATTTTAACTAGTGTATTTCTCCCAGAATTGTTCAGTCTGAGGATTTTGTAAGCATGTCTTCTGTGTGTTTATTGTCACATAAAAGAAAAACTACAGAGGGCTAAGGACAGAGTTCCAAGGCACTCCCCTAAAGACTCCTCAACTAAGTTGACATAGAGCAGCAAACTTAACTCAGGTACACTACAATCCACTCACACTCAAGCAACGTATTTACAAAAATAGCATGGAAAGCCATCTTGAATACTATTTTTGTTAGAATACACTGTCTTTTTTTTTTTTTTTTGCCTTTACTAATTGTGTGATCTTGGGCAAGTACTTTAGACCTCTGCTTTTGAAACTATATATGTAAAATGAGTTGTTTCGAAGACTAAATGAGGTAGTACAGAGTGCTTAGAGCAGTGTCTGGCATATAGTAAGAGCTCAATTAATAGAAACTATTATTATTATTTCCTCCGTCTAAGAAGTGTAATAGTCATTAGTTTCCAAGATATAAATGTGATTTAGTATTACTTGTTCTGTTTGAGTTTATGCTGACATTTATCTAGTGATCTTCATGTTCTCTAGTTATTCACAAACCATTTGCTTCATAATTAAGTTTATCTGTAATTTCTGAAATTTGCTTTCCCACTTCTTCAGCCCCCAGGACTTGAAGCAAACTCTACCCATCTTCTGTGTTTCTGAGCTCTTCTCCAAGATGGTAGGAATCAGCTTTGTGATTACACTTGCTAATTGCTTTAGTAGTATGGAATGGATTGTATCTGTGTCTAGAGACTCAAACTCACATATAGTTCTAGTCTCACTCATTAGGCTCAGGTTTCAGTTTTCAAAGTTTTTCTGCAGCTTTAATTTAAAAGTTGTTGGAGAAAATAAAATAAGCAAAATATTGGTTGAGCAATCTATATGATCTCGCTATCTTAGCAGCATCCTCTGAGCAAGGAGTGTCTCAGTTACTTGCTCTGTTCGAGAATTGTATGTTACCGTGGAGAGAGCTTTGAGTGAGAAAGTATGAAACCTGAGGTCTAATTCTCACTCCACTTAATAGCCCATGTAATGCTTAGCAAGTTGCATTACACCATATGCCTCAGTTTTCTCATCTGTAAAAATGATATTTGCCAGCTTTCAAAGAAGTTTCATAAAACATTTGTAAACTATCAAGTACTATACAATGTAAGATGGAATAATATTTATTAAAATTTAGCTATAAAAGGTTTTATCTTTAAACATTTCTAATTTAGTTTTTTTCTGAGGTTCTTCATTCCTAATACTGTATCTGTATGTTCTTGTTCTTCTGTTATGTTCATTCTATTTGAGCACCATTAACAACTCTGCACAGAGTCCCTCTACAGTAACACTGAGTGCTTCACCTTTTTTCATCATTGGAATTCTTTATGGGTATCTAGGTGGAACTTAGAAAAATCATTTCTTATGAGCCATTTTGCTTAGCCATGCAGAGTTATGCATTTTTCTTTACTTTTTGAACTGTGCCTTTCTAAAAACTATGACACATATTTAACTGTACCTAGTGTTTTCTTTATTATTATTAGAATTCTCTATGGTTTGCAGCCATTATCACTCTGAACATGCCTGATCTTGCTTAAGCAGGATTGGGCCTGGTTTGTACTTAGATAGGAGAAATGCCTTATAACGAGAACACTTTCTTCCACGTTCCTATTCTAAGTATGTCAACTTTCATACTTTGTTGGTCACTCACTGTTCAGTATATCCCCTTTTGCTTCCTTAGCCTTCTGAAAGGAATTTTCAACAAAACAAGTCAACAGTCATATTTTGATAGAATTAGGCTTTTAGTGCAAAAAAAGAATACTCTTATCTGTGTTAGGAAAGTACTATACATCTTTTTATGCCTGAGTTACAGGTAATTTATGTCTGTGAAAATGTCAGTTTTACTCCTCTTTTTTGTCCTGTCATAACTCAGTTGTGTAATTATAGAATAAAAGTGTTTGATCTTCATCAATTAAAAAACAGATTTTTTTTTTTTAAGTATGTAGTCTTCACATTTCAGATATTGCTAGGGAGTGTCAGGTGTATTTTTGAGCAGGAGACATTCCCTAAAATCATATCCACAGTAAAAAATGGCTCTGATAGCTAGACAAAAATTGGCTACTCATTAGGACTTATTAGTGAATTATAAACATATGGCCAAAATTTATCATGTTAAAAATTATAGGTAATTTTTAAATTAATTTCATATGAATGTAAAATATTAAAATCCTTTTTTAAAATTCCTTCTAGGCTGACTGCATTTCAGAAAGCATCAACTTTTCTCGATGGACCTAGTCATCAAGTGAAATATGCCAATACTATTTTAAGAAGCTTTGTACTTCATATAAAAAAGTCTCCCCCTCAAATGAAAATGGGGGCATTTGAGGAGTGATTTAAGATATGGACATTTGAGAAGGTGTCCCATCAAATCAGTGAACCTAAAGATAAGTACTGAACAGATTAATCTAAAATACTTGCTATTATTTAAGCCAAGAGGATTTCATCTTGACAGAAAAGCAACTTTTATCCAATATGTATTTTCTGGGATTAAAGAGACAAGAACAGACTTAAAAGAAAATAGTTGAAGATGTTTAATAAATAAGCACTGTCAGCTGTATTCTGATTAAGATAACTAAGTGATGTTAAATATAAATCCCTGGTTGTGGTCCTAAAATTAAGACACTTTTTTGGTGGAACTAGTATTAAGAGAAGTAGCACCATTTGTGCATTCAACTCACTGATAAAACTTATGATCATCGGCATGAGTGGCTTAAAAGAGAAAATAAAGAAGCTTTCAACTAAATCCAAAAGTGCAGTCATTTTTTTTTTGCTATTATTTTAAAAAATTATTCCTAATCATTTAAAAAGACTTAATAGTTACTCTAAAGATAAAAGAAAGCAGATGTCTGCAAACAATTCCCCTCCATCAGCCCAGAAGTCTGTATTACCTGCACCTATTCCTGCTGTGCTTCCAACTGCTTCTCCGTGTTCAAGTCCTAAGACAGGACTCTCTACCCGACTCTCTAATGGAAGCTTCAGTGCACCATCACTCACCAACTCCAGAGGCTCAGTGCATACGGTTTCATTTCTACTGCAGATTGGCCTCACACGGGAGAGTGTTACCATTGAAGCCCAGGAACTATCTTTATCTGCTGTCAAAGATCTTGTGTGCTCCATTGTTTATCAAAAGGTACTGTGCATGCTATTCATGTCAATAGTTTTTCTAGGTGATACTGTTACCATTGCTTCTCTGTAAATTGCACATAAAACAATGAGTTAACACATATAGATCCATCAATTCTGAGCGTTTTTGGAAGAGTCCTAATAGACTATGAGCCTAAAGTCTGAAATCTGAGAGTCTAATTGACAACCTACATCCCAGATTTAAAAGACCACTATCTTTTGTCTCTTAAGAACAGGAAAATCTGTATAAAGTCAAGGAGGCATAAGAAATATTATTTAAATGTTTTAGAGACAGCTGGAGGTAGAGGGTATAAGGAATTAAGGTGGCATGGGGGCACACCAGCAACTAAGTCCCACATCCACACCTCATTTTTTCTAGATGCCTTGTGTTCTGCCCTCTCTTTTTGACCCTTTTTCTTCTTTTTAGAGCCTGATCATTTTTCAGATAACCTATATTAAACTGCTACTTATCACACTCTTTTAAAAAAAATAGGTAAATCAATTTTGAATATGTATTAAAATATATGAAAATTTGAGGCTCGGCGCCTGTGGCTCAAGCAGCTGAGGCGCCAGCCACATACACCTAAGGTGGCAGGTTCGAATCCCCAGCTCGGGCCCGCCAAACAACAATGATGGCTGCAACCAAAAAATGGCCAGGC